AATCATTTTATGCTATTCTTAGAAGACTGTTCTAGCGATAATTTCAGGGAGTGAATTATGCACCGAGTCTTTGTTTTCAGTGTAAACCATAATTTAAAAAAAAATCTTTTCTAAAAAAATCCTGAATACAGATGAAATGAAAAACATTTTTGAGATGTTCCCTGATTTAACTACTTTCAGTGTCCATCTCTGGCTCCGTGGTAGGTCTGCCTCAAAATGACAAATGTCTAATAGAACGTACAGAATGTTTAAATTTGGAACAACACAACATGTTACGAAGGAACATATGAGATGAAGTTCACCTGTTAAACAAAGTCACAAGGCCCTCGATTTCACATCTATACATTGGTAAAACACATTACTGGGACACTCAAATATGATTTCATGTGGTTTCGACTGGCCATAACCAACTTGATGTGAAGCTTGTGTGCATCTGAACAGATCGTGACGGACATATGCAAAAATTTAGATAAATGGTTATTTCGTGGTATTCATTTTTATAAAGTTATAAGCCTTAATACCTCATTGCAAATTAATTACTTAAGTTCATATTCAATAAATCAAAATTACATATCTCGAGATCGTTGTTTTATAAGAGTATTTAAATATGACTTTGCTTTAAAATGAAACTTACGATGATCATGTCATTTTTATTTTGTAGACCTGATGAATCTTTGATGCATTTGTGAAGCTTTAGGAGAAAAAGACGATTTTGACCCTTGTGTGCTATAATCATATTTGGCATGGGGATTACCACTTGTTACTATAGTAACATTATACTGGAGGGTTGTTTCTGTCCTGCGTATCTCTGATATACTCGTTATCACTTATAGCTGCAGCGCTTGCTTGTAATATTGTGCACCTGATGAAGCTGTGAATTACATAGTTAAAGAAATATTTTTGAAAACTGTCTCCATTTAAGGTTCCAAAATCTGATTCTGTTACGAGGAAGCCGATGTTAGTAGATATGTATTTTCAATACACAAGTTTGTTAATTGTGGATGAATGCAGGATGTGGGCTTGAAGTACGACACTCCGGACATCCCGTAGCCAGAGTATCCACTCATTCCTGGATGTGCGCTCGAAGTACGACACTCCGGACATCCCGTAGCCAGAGTACCCACTCATTCCTGGATGTGGGCTCGAGCTACAACACTCCAGACATCCCGTAGCCTGAGTATCCACTCATTCCTGGTTGTGGGCTCGAGGTACGACCCTCCAGACATCCCGTAGCCAGAGTCTCCACTCATTCCTGGATGTGGACTCGAAGTACGACACTCCAGTCATCCCGTAGCCTGAGTACCCACTCATTCCTGGATGTGCGCTCGAAGTACGACACTCCAGTCATCCCGTAGCCTGAGTACCCACTCATTCCTGGATGTGGGCTCGAGGTACGGCACTCCAGAAATCCCGTAGCCAGAGTATCCCCTCATTCCTGGATGTGGGCTCGAGCTACGACCCTCCAGACATCCCGTAGCCAGAGGATCCGCTAATTCCTGGATGTGGGCTCGAGGTACGGCACTCCAGAAATCCCGTAGCCAGAGTATCCCCTCATTCCTGGATGTGGGCTCGAGGTACGGCACTCCAGAAATCCCGTAGCCAGAGTATCCTCTCATTCCTGGATGTGGGCTCGAGCTAAGACACTCCAGACATCCCGTAACCAGAGTATCCACTAATTCCTGGATGTGGGCTCGAGGTACGGCACTCCAGAAATCCCGTAGCCAGAGTATCCTCTCATTCCTGGATGTGGGCTCGAGGTACGGCACTCCAGAAATCCCGTAGCCAGAGTATCCTCTCATTCCTAGATGTGGGCTCGAAGAACGACACTCCGGACATCCCGTAGCCAGAGTATCCTCTCATTCCTGGATGTGGGCTCGAGGTACGACCCTCCAGACATCCCGTAGCCAGAGGATCCGCTAATTCCTGGATGTGGGCTCGAGGTACGGCACTCCAGAAATCCCGTAGCCAGAGTATCCCCTCATTCCTGGATGTGGGCTCGAGCTACGCCACTCCAGACATCCCGTAGCCAGAGGATCCGCTAATTCCTGGATGTGGGCTCGAGGTACGACACCCCAGACATCCCGTAGCCAGAGTCTCCACTCATTCCTGGATGTGCGCTCGAAGTACGACACTCCAGTCATCCCGTAGCCAGAGTATCCTCTCATTCCTGGATGTGGGCTCGAGGTACGACACCCCAGACATCCCGTAGCCAGAGGATCCGCTAATTCCTGGATGTGGGCTCGAGCTACGCCACTCCAGACATCCCGTAGCCAGAGTATCCACTCATTCCTGGATGTAACAATCGCAATCCACATTGGTAACGTCTCCATGGGTGTCCACGGATACAAGCTCTACACTGTAAAAAGATAATGTTTTATGGTATATAATTACATATATTCACTTATAGAAATGCTCCCGATAAGGTGACGAAGCTGTTAAAACTTGAGTTTAAACATATAAACTATGCAGTGCTTTTATTGTTTCAAATCCAGTATTGAATCCCCTTACAATGAGCTCCATTTTAGGGAGTGTGATTAATTATATCAATATTTTTGTCTTAAAGCTTTAGCTATATATTTTCTATTGCAATCGGACGGTAATTTAAATGGTCATATATATGTTTAATGAAGGTTTCATGGCTTGATTATAAGTTTTAAACTAAATTTGACCTTGTATAATTCTGTATTAGCCCTTCTTTAAATAATTATAACTATTATGACTACATGTATAACAATTACACAGTTCCTGGTGTCCGGCTCACCGTTGGACAGATAGGGCTTGTCTCTATCTTACTCGATGTATTTAGTGTATCTTAACGTGAACCTGGTGAGGACAGTATCTTCTGTTTTATTATTGTTACATAACTGGGTCTACATTTTGCCATTGTCCTTGACATTTACTATGCTGTATGTGTTTTAGTGTTTAAAGCGTACTGTACACACAATCAGTAACACAATGCCATACCTCGTTCGTGCGGGATAAGACGGGTCTATTTTCACATTCCATGGTTGTCAGTTTTAATCTTACCTATAGAAGATAAATATCACCTGAAATTTAATCTACCTCAAATAAAAGAGCTTGCATTTTGACTACAGAGTTCAATCACTTGACCCTTTTCGTAAATCGAGCGAGACACGTTGATAACATGTCAAGGTTTCCTTCACATAGTTATATCCTGGTTGTGTAATATTATCTGAACCCTTGTTTAAAGTAATATGACAAGGTAGCGTCTGTGCATGTGTTTTAGATACGGGGATCCATATTATGTAAATCTATCGAGTTGTGTGTCGAGAGGGATTGAATGAACTCTATTAATCGGTATACAGTTTATGTAAAACACTACATTTTTTGTTAAATTTCACAGATATTAACAACTTAAAATAATAATATTTTTAATGCAAATATATGTTCAAAGTACTATTAAAGTGGGTATAACTCAGTAATTAAAATACAGTGTAAAGAATTTCATTGTTAAAACTACAGTTATTTCCTCATAGCGATTGACCTATAAGCCAGGAAGACATACTAAATCGTTCGATGAAGGTAGTTGAAGATAAACTCTACATTGTACTTGTATGTCCATCCCATCTAACATAAAGGAACATATTCATAAAGTAATTCTTCTTGCGTACGCTATATATGTCTTCAGGTTTCACTGAAGCTCAATTATTAAGCAAATGAAATAAACAGATATGTCGAATGCTTCATGAAGGGTTAAAAATAAGCTAAAAAAACGAAAACAAATGAAATAAGACCAGGTGTTCCGGAAGGGTAAGCGTCATTTGCTTCATCGACGACACCCGCCATGTTTATTTAGGTCAAATCCAAGTAATTTCACGTCCTCACGTCGAACATTCGGGTAGTGACAACAAAACATCATGGCACACTCATGAACATCATCAAACACATCGACCTTCATATCACACCATCTAAAGCATATTTCCCTGCGAGATCCTGATAGCGACAATTATCATGTCCATAGTCTTCATTAATTTGCGTCTTTGGAAACCGTGCGTGGTAAGTAGCAGTCAACATCTTTAAGTCATGATATATAGTCATGAGCAAGCGTTTTAACAACGAATCAACTGCCACATGTGTACACTGTAGGTAGGGGATATAGAGATATTGCTATCAAGAAAAGGAAAGCTGAAGGTCAGAAAAACAGAAACGTTTCGGAGGATCAAATTCATATCTAAGCTGTAAACTGAATTCAATATAGATAATTTAAATGTTCAAGTATTATTAAATCTCTCAGAGTGCTCGCAAATGAGAGGAAATGCCCCGAAACGACTTAATTGTCAGCTGGCTGCACTGCCTCGAAACATCGTTTTTAGTGAGTTGTTTGCAGTTTCTATGAAACAAAAGCGATAGTGAACGGATGATTGTAAAAGACTGCAAAATAATATTTAAATACTGTTTGTGTACAAAAAACAAACTTAGAGTATAGCATACCATAGTATATAGCATAGTACTTGTGGTCGGTCGACACACTGGGTATCGCATTATGTTGCCTTTCTCCCAGACGGCCTGGACTCGATTCCCTGATCGGACGTGGACATATATGGGGTTACCGTGTTTTTTTGGGGGGTTCTCCAGTTTCCTCCCACATAAAAACTCCTCGCTCTTTGAACCGGGCAAACAAGAGTGATTAATATAAGTTGATTCAACTTGTTTCATAATATTTGCTGTTATTGTGTTTATTGTGGGATTGATATTGTTGTAAAATAAGTAAAGATTATGGCGGATTGTTGTAACATAAATAAAGTTTATGGTTGATTGTTGTAGAATAAATCAAGTTTACAGTGTAATGTGGTGTAGTGTAAGACACAGATGAACATTTGGGTTACTTCCATGATTATGAAAACCGACACCATCGCAATAACTTATTACAACACTTTATGACGCTCACCCTTTCTTACTAGCTGAACCACATGTCCTATATGTCACGGTCTGTTGAATCACGCGAACTTACCCGACAGTTCCCAGCCTTGACACGTATGTAATCCAGCCACCCAGTAACAGATATAGACGTCGCCAGATTTAAAATTTAAATTATTCTCGTACAAAATTGGCCGATGTTGCCTTCATACACATACTTATATATCACCTTTTAAAGTTGGCAAGAAGGGTGACTGTTTACGGTACTTGCAGATACAAGCAGATACGTTGAATGTTGTATCTGTAGGATTACAGACAACACGTGTTCACATGATAAATGTTGAATCATGTGTTCTATATTTACATTTTATGTTTGTTGCGTATATTGGAATAGCTTTGAGGTTTGTACTTCGTCAGCCGTATACTGCTATCAGATAGGTGTCGTGTGACAACGCTTTAATAGATATGTGGTATTACAAGTTGACACGTACACAACAACCATGGCGCCCGTAAACAAGTTCTGGTGTCTGGCCACCATCACCTGTAGTATTGCAATTTATTACGGATGTAGGTTTACAGACCACCCGACCAACAGGGAACTACGGGAATCGTACGATTATATCATCAGTATGTATATATATATATCTTATGCTGTAATGGTTACTTATGTATATATTTGTACTTATAGATACAGTTGCTTATATTATCACTGTATGATCAGTTCAGAGTCACACTCTTAGCTGGTGTTATCTTAAGGTCATAGGAGTGTATTGCTAAACGGAAATAGGAAGTACATCCGTTGTTGAAAATCCAATGTAGGGAGACAGTATCACAATTTCCGCATAATCTAATTTTTAAAATTAAAGTGATGACTATTGTATGCTTATTATTGATAGAACGGTGTGTTCTTTCAATATTAAAGTATTGCAAAGCAATCCAGGCATTAATTCAGTTGTTTTTTAATCAATGAGTCACATGTGTCCATTTTTCTGTACTTCAGGAAACCGGCTACCTATTTCACTACTGTGAAGTTTTTCAAGAGCCATAACTCTTGCATGCAATTACTATGTGTATATGGTTTATTATAAAATGTCAATTTTAATCGTTTATAGATAATTAATTTTACACAATTTCAGTATTTATGAAATTGATATACATTAATGCAATACTAATCTATGTTAGTATCATTTTTATTGACATTATTTTGCAAAAAATTGTGTGTTTCAATATTTTTTTTCCAAATTCACTCCTTTTTACATAAATTTCCATTTAAATTTTCTTTACTTCAAAGCAATATAACTACAAAATTTGAATAAATTCTACTGAGAAATGGTGACACAATCCTATTACCTAAACGCAAGCACTGCTATACTAAGAAACATGCATTGCTCTTTATTCCGTCGGCCTTTCCACACGTAAGTTGAAAACACAAAAACATAATTAATGTTTTATTAAGTTACATTAATTCTTTCCTCCTTTTTGTAATTAACTGTTGTACTTGCTTAAATACACTAGGCTTTATATGTAAAAAAAAATATCTTCAATCTGAATAAAATGGACATTGGAGTAAAAATGTACTTTATCTTCAATTAGAGCTGGATTGCAAAATGTACACATTCTGTTAAATCTCGAAATGTTGTTTATTTTTTTATGGTCACTCTAATTAAAGCCATATCGTGGTCTACGCTCCGTTCCGTAATCTACACTACGGAACGGAGCGAAGATCAAGATACAGTTTTAATCCGATTGACAACTCGCACATTCTTAGCTGCCTATCCATGAATAAAGTATGTACATTGTATGTACACATCTTAACAAACCGAAGTGTAAGTATATGAAAACGCAAAGCTAAATTAAATATGAATGAAATGGTTTCACAACAACATTTAGTTGTTGACACGAAAGTCCCACCATTGATAATATTCTCTATTCTTTGTGCTAGCTATTGCATTCAAACCGCGTCAGAATCCCACTTTTCGTCGCAGCGGATAGAACTGGAACATGCAATGACTAGGCATTTCTATCTTTTATGGAACAGGATAAGTAACAGTTAGGAATCACCCCAATACCATCAATAATGATTGGGGGAGGTACGATCTGCATCCATTTTACGGCAGACAACTTGGTTGCGTCACGATTGACAGCATCTAGCGTCCGTCACTGAAGCGATCTAAATGGAAAGTAGCCGTCTAAAGCACCCTGGTGAGATTGACACACTGTTGCGAGTAATCTTTTCAAATCTCGCCCCTTTAAATGCATGCCTTTGTGTAATTTGTACAGTTGGTGGTGGCACTGCGGGTTCAGTTCTTGGGAGTCGTCTGTCCGAGGATGATGACGTCACAGTGGCTATCCTTGAGGCGGGAGGAGCGGCGGACAACGACCCACGCGTGACCATCCCGTACTATTTCCCTAGTCTACAAGGGACGGAGCTCGACTGGAAGTTCTATACAACTCGTCAACAACATGCATATTTTGCAATGAAAGACCAAGTATACATTTTACTCCGACTGCCCATTATATGCTTTATGCTATTTAATGTTGACGGAGATGGGCCAATCATCTCATTATGCTAATGACTAAGCAGTTTTATTAAAACACTACATGCAATTAGACTTTATGATGGACACATGTTAAGCGCCAGGAAAAGTGGGAACTGCATCGGTACAACAGAAGGCACTTTTCTAGCTAGCATCCTATTACGCCTTATTGCTTCTATTCGGTCCGCCTTTAAATACCATTACAAATTGATTGTCTGGGGTGCAAAGACAATCTGTAAGGATATGAAGTTATACATGTATCACAAACTTATACTTTCTTGTAGGTCGGATATATACCTCGTGGAAAGCTTCTAGGCGGTTCTAGTAACCTTAATGCCATGGCGTATAACCGGGGTGGGCGTGACGTGTACGATAAATGGGCGGCTGACGGATGTGACGAATGGAGCTATGATGACGTACTTCCGTATTTCCTGAAGTCAGAAGATATTCAGATGACAAGTTTGGAAAATTCATGTGAGTTCAATCTATTAGCGTTTCGCAGGCATCGTCCTTTAATTCATATGTAATACTATGCAAATAAAATATGAGCAGATGTGATATTTCAAAATTTTGCTTGATTAAAGCAACAAGAACCTTTTCACTCAACATTTTAATCCTTTTCCTGTGATTTGATAAATTATTCGACTGCAGACTATACCCTGGTACACAGCGGTTACGGATTGTAGTTTATCTGCCCGTGTCTCAGTTCCTTTTGGTACACTTCATGCCATTTTAGAATGTTCACTTCTTTACTACAGCATATCACTCCCGTGGAGGTCCACTGCCTATTTCTGAGGCCAAAGTAACGCCACTCGTAGATATTTATGCTGAGGCCTGGAAGGAAATAGGACACCAGGTTATCCATGATCTTAACGGACCAACCCAGAACGGTAAAGGATATTGAACGTAAAATCCCAATTTTTCCTGGATACCGTTCATCGCATCCCTTCTTCACCCGTCTCGGATCCGCTGCCGATCTGGCCATACAATCGTATTGCCACCTTGCACGCCGGCTTTGAATACATTTTTTCTTTAACTGTTCTCTGCTATGTCGTAATAATATGATTTCACTTTTATAACAAAAACATTTGATGATGTTGAAAAAACATTTTCTTTTGTAGTTTTATGAGTAAAATGAATATCTACACCAAAATTTTATCTTAATGCAACGATTCAGGAAAAAACTTTTTATATATGTCTATCAATCAACACAGGAGTCTAAATCGACAGACATTTTGTTTTGAAATTGTATTGTTTCTAATATAAGAAACTAATAATTATTACACTTATAATTAACTGATTTTATAACACTACCAAACAGGATAGTCGCCAGATACATTTTAAGAGAATGAATTTGAAATCGGTCAGACCACTACCAGATCCTATATTCACAGGTTTCTCCAGCATGCAGGCCAATATCAAAAACGGACAACGATACAGCACCTCTCGCGCATTTCTCCTTCCGGTTATGCACCGGCATAACTTAGATGTCCATACATACAGTCATGTTTACAAAGTAAGACAATGCAACGCCCAATAGGTGGTACCCAGTAAAACATGATGTAATTGGCTTTTGAAACTGGACAACTTTGTTATCAGGTCATTATTAATATTATTGGAAAGTTTGTTAATCTTTTCTCAATTTTAATCTAAGAAAATACATTGACTTCTTTCTTCGACTTGTTCACATATCACATAAGAACTGCATCAGTATCAAATTTCCCCTAAAATGTATGTACATGTTTCATTATGTATAATTGTTTATGCTGATCCTTACCTGTCCAGGTAGTTATTAATGACGGACGGGCTGTGGCGGTAGTGGTTGATTATCAAGGGGAACGGCGAACCGTCAGAGCAAACAAAGAAGTGATTCTGTCGGCAGGGGCTCTCCAATCGCCTCAACTGCTGATGCTGTCTGGGGTAGGACCTAGGAAGCACCTTAAGGACATGGGGGTAAGGCTTGCAATTATTCAGCCGAAGCCATTTTGGTAAAGCAAGGGAAAGTACCCACAGACAGTGAGGTAAGGCGACATTGGGGGATAAGGGTCGTGTAAGTGCAAGGAATATTGGTCTCACGGAACGTGGAATTTATGGTACCCGTGAGATAAGGCCGATGTCACTTTCGCGGTCATTTTTGTTGTGGAAATAGAACTGCTCAGGATATCTTCTTATACATGCCGTAGAACATTCCGCGGCATAATGGAAGAGCCAGGGAACCATTAATGGACAAGGTGGTAAGGCTTCTATGGACAAAAAGAACCAGCATCATTAGTGTAATCCTCAGAAAATACACGAGAAAATATACAAACAAAATTAATGTTTAGTTACATGTATATCGAACAATAAAAAAATCAGACTGATATCATGATAGTTAATCCAAAACATTTCTATGTTACCATGAATAAACCGTTTGTTTTTTATCCAAATGTCAACCATTCCCTCGTAGATTCCCGTAATTGCTGACCTTCCGGTGGGGGAGAACCTGCGAGACCATCTGATGTTTGTGTTCCGACAGCTAACCAACACATCGCATTCAACTACAGAGGAGGAGGCAGAGTCTCTTACAGAACAACTACGGTACTACGTACTCGGCAAAGGTAGGTAACTTGTATTCCCACAATGGAGGAGGTGATGATGTTCTTCTAAAAATATATGTGGTACTACGTTCTCATGTCCTATTCCAGTGCAAAGAGACAAGATGGTAACCAGACCATTGTGTGGTACGGTGACACGTTTGTAATTCAAAGGAAGAGACGGGGTCAACCACATGTCCTCGCCTATTCTAAATGGTATACACACTTTAATATGTCTTAAGTGTATGAACGAAACCGATAATAAATTGTATGCTTCCGCATTTTGAGACGATCAAGTAAGTGAATCTCTGTATATATTTCTTAACGAAACTGTGTTATGCTTCAATGTGTCTTAACTTGATATCTTGACGAAGTTTTGATCAATATTGTCAATGGTTTACACGGGTTTCCTATCACCATACATTACAGTCAACCCCAGTCGAATTTGTTTGAAAGCACTTGTGTGAAGAGAAGATATTAGTTTATTCTTTCTGGATTGACATGTATATTCTGGAATGATGTATTAAGAAGCGTTTTTTAATACGTTGCCCTTCCAAATATAACCATTTTTGGTGGTGCCGAAAATTTAGTCATACATGTAGTTCAGTCTCTCCCCATTACGAGACCGTTTAGGAAGAATTGGGTCATTAGCATGATGCTGTTTTCACCTGATTGCATTGATAATGATATTCTACCAGGTCCTTTATCGTATGGAGGACCAGAGGGATCAGCCTTCTTCCACAGTGACAGTTCATTGGAAGGAAAGCAGCCCCCTGATCTTCAGCTCTCTTTCTACAGCAAGTCCGCCTCAACTTCCGGAAAGAACATGGGAGAATACAACTTCAGGGATGAGGCAAGTCTCACCAAAATGGTTGTCTCTTGAATATGTTCTTTTACACAAACACGAGACTACCCGATTATGTAATTGGTGAAATGCGTTTCGAAAATAAGTTTCGTGAACTTATCACTGTCATTAGACAATTAGTATTTACAAACGAGAAAGGAAAGTTATTGAAGTGTTTACTAATAACCAGTCCTCTGCAACTGTGATATTTTGATTATTACGGACATTGCTGAGTAATTGTAAACAAGCTTTGCGATAAGAAATCTTGTTGAGGAAGTTGTATTATCCATTCCAAGTTGATATAACATTTCATCAATACACGTTTGAAAACATTTCTTACACTTACAGGTGTACCAAGCATTGCCAGATGGCAAACAAAGTTTTTCATATGGCATTATTCTTCTCAAACCAAAAAGTAAAGGCACAATCCGACTCCGTTCCAAAGACCCAATGGACCCACCGATTATTGATCCAAATTATTTAGCAGATTCTGGTGACATTGATACATTCGTGAAAGGTTTGTACAGCATATTACTATCACACATATTAAGCCCCATGTAGCTGCTTCATTTTACAGGGTATATGTTATATACTTCAATTTCAATCTTATTTTGGTAATGTCAGTCACTTCTCGGTTAAGTTCCTGTTTCTGTATCATCTGCAACTTGTTTGAAAAAGACCAAGATGGCATATATTCTAAACATCGATTGGTATGATATATCCATTGGGCCAATGACAATTCGAAATTTGTCATTATCTGCAATCTAAAATATACACATGTGGTTCATTATGCGGATACACGATTTGAAGTAATATCTGCATCTGCGGTTACTTTTTATCCTAGGGATCCGTGTATGCGAGAGGCTGGCAGTCACGTCCACCATGGCCAGAATAGGAGCCAGCGCTTCCGACGCCCAGCATCCCAGATTCTGTAGGGAATTTACTCCAGGAAGTGACGAGTACTGGGGATGTATGGTGCGACACTTGGCGTCCACGCTATATCACCAGGCCTCCACGTGTAGGATGGGATCGGTAGATGACCCGACAGCTGTTGTTGATTCCCAACTGAGGTACAGTTAATTATATAATGTGATAGCAAGAATCAATTCATACCGATAAACTTCCATTTCATAAAACAAATTGTCGACAAAGTGCCCCAATATATTGTAGTTTTTCCACAAATATCCCCAATATATTGTACTTATTCCACGAAGTGCCCTAATATACCGTAGTTATTAAAAAAAACCACTATATGTATAGAAATGTCATTTTCTCTATCACGAATTAAAAAACGGGAATAAACCTACTGTTATAGTTCGCGAAATAAAGTACACACGAAAAGTTAGTGATAATCAGTATCTTCAAAACATAACGACATACTGTGGTTATCCAACAAAACATCCTTTATATAACAGTAACTCACAAGGTACCTCTGTGTACGAAACTTATCTAATAAAGTACTTGTTATCACGTAAGGTTTCCTTTGTTAAACTCTAATTACCCGATATAGTGTCCGTTTATACTTGTATTATCCCACAGGGACAGAGTATTTGCACGAATTTCACATGAAAATATGCAGTATTTCAGCACCTTATTTGTTTAACTCCGTTGTTCATACTAGGGTGAAGGGCGTGTCAGGACTAAGAGTAGTGGACGCGTCAGTCATCCGGGATCTCCATTCCGGATCCCCGCATGCGCAGGTCATCATGATAGCGGAGAAAGCTGCTGATATCATCAAAAACGTGAACACAGTCCAAAACTTAAGAAAGAGGACTACAATTGGATGATATGACATATCACCGGTTTTCTATCAAAATTGATAGCAAGTTGCTATGCAAAACACAAAAACACATTTACGATTAATCCCAGTAATGTGTTTTGGGTGTTGCACTGATAACGATTTTACAGATTAAAGAAACGAAGAGTTTCAATAACAATTCTGGTTACAACCGAAAAAGAGACCAATATGTTAATATGGGCAACCTAAAAGATCTTACCTTCTGGAGGTGGCTGACTAAAGAGTGTGTCTATATGGAAATAACGTTTATAAGTTCCTGAACAGACCAGATACGACGGATCATTGTTTCCGTTTGGTAATAGGTTTTCATACATTCCTGGTGAGTCTGAAGTCGTGACCAGGGTAAATAAAATACAAACGAAACGAAACATAATTATGTGGTTAGCATTTAATACAGACGAACAGCAATACTAAGTGGATATAAAGGATACCAATATAATGACTGTTTAGATGTAATACAATATGATCAAAGCTAGATGTTAAGCATCATCAAAACAATGTAATATCTCACCTATTAATAGTTTAAAAATATTCTGAAAAGTACTGTATACCGTTATGTTTAGGTAATGATATTTTTAAGTAAGCTGAATCCAGGTTATACATACTCTGTGAACAATTCTAGTCTAAAATATAATACTACAGAAATGATAATACCCGACGAACAACAGTCCAAACTGATCAAAGCCGTAGATTGTTCACACCTGGGTTGGCTAGGAGGTTGGTGGCATTTTATCAGCACTAATGTTGAGCTACTGTACAATATCGACCGACGTTTATAGACAGTTGTTAACCGTTTTATTAAACTGTATTGTGTATCCCAAAACAATCCAAAAATACTAATGTAGGTTATGCAGGTGTAACGGTTATTCAATAGGACATAGTTTGAACTGCTATTGTTGAGGCAAGATTCAAAATGCAATCACTTGAAGCTATTATAGAAAGCATTCTGACTGTATTATAATAAAATTAAAATATTATTCAATAATCTACAAGATATGCTCTTGATTATAAGTGAAATATATTTAATAACGTACAAGGTATGTTCCTGATTACAATAAAATAAAAGAAATAATGTATAATATACTATATGCTCCTGATTACAATAGAATACATATAATGTTGAGCAATGTGTTATCATGAATACAAAGAAATGCATTCAATAAGCAATGTACAAGGTGTATGCTCTTTATTAGAAGTGAAATGTATTTAGTAGATTACACTGGATGATTTGTTTTACCAATGAAACATAATTATATAATAAAGTACAATGTATGCTCCTGATAACAAATGAAATATATTCAATAATGAATATGGTATGCTCCACTGTTACAAATAGACAATTGATAGAGAGCTACCGACATATATGCGTATGAAATAATGTCTATTTATTCCAGAAAACTTTTTCTAGCCAATATTTAAGACTGGAGTTTTAACCCTATGGTCTAAAGAAAATTTTCTGTTTTGCCACTTTTAAATACACACTTACACAGTGCTGTAAATTGTCTTAGAATTATATAATTACTCTAATTAAATTGAAATGATTATTTCCTATCCTGAATAGACCTATCTTTTCAGATTACACTTAATTTTTGTATAGGTTTTTTTCCCCAAAATATTTATTGTTAATATCTTAGATACAAAGGAATTGGGCAACAGGAAAAGCCTATGAGCGCCCTCTTCTTACAGTAATAAACAGTTTACACACATCATCTTGAAGTAATAATTAAATACATGTATATGCACGATTAAATATATATATATATTGATAATTACATGTTATTTTTTTTTTAATTTTTATTTTTGAAAATTGTTGTTTCAGAAACAAGAGTATACAAACATCAGACATATGGTGCTGGTGGACAGCATACACGTACAATTTTGTGTTGGTCTCATTTCATAAAGCAAAGTCATGTGATAATAGAAAAACAAATAGGTATAATCTAGTAAAAGCGTCTAGTTAATCGAATGAATCTTCATATTGATATCTAGTCTTTGACATTCATAAAGAAAGGTCATAGTATTTAATGGAATAGTATTAAGAGCATGTATGGAATTCGTGAGAATTTGCCTTTGATTAATATACAGGGAACAATGGAGGAAGAAGTGAGCACAATCCCTAACAGTAAAATTATATAAGCAGGCAGGGGTTTCAATAAAGAAAGATTAAAATAGAACTGAATTCATGTTGCTGGCATAGTTTCTAAGTTGTCAAAAAGTAATATTAAATTTTCGATCACCATGGTATTTAAACATATTTTGGGATTGAGAATCTATTTAAGCTGAGTGTAAAACATCTCCCATTCAGACATTAATTTCGGGACAAAACCGGCATTATATAACCGAGTTCTCGGTGTTGGAACATCAACAATTCTATTGTGGCGAAGATGATAATTGTAAGTATTATTGTTGATGCACCGTTGAATTATATCATAGAGGTGCATTTCTAATTTCCTATTTTATAAAAACAAAGATTTTTCGTGTAAATGTCTTTTGTTCCACGACTTAAATCTGAAATAATACGTGCTACTTCTAGTTGGATTGACCATAAGACACTTCATTCATTCTGCGTACAGTTCGCCCATACAATATTTGCATATTCCAAAATTGGACGTATAAATGTGATATATATTGTTTCGAGTGATTTTCTCTCAATTTTGTATTTATCATTCTAAGTATATTAATTATTTTACAAGATTTTTCGTGTTTATAGTTTATGTTGTTAGACCAAATAGCATTGCAGTTGAAAAAACAAACCTAGGTGTTTATGATTAGAAACAATAATAGCGGTTGATTCATCAAAATATAGATTAAGTTGCAGTGACTAAGAGTCAACCCGCCTTGGGAAGAGCAGAGCTACAGTTTATCAAGATTAAAAACAATTTCCTCATTTTCTAGCCCAGATTGAGATTTTCCTTAGATCATCATTTGATATCTTAACACATTCTTGCATGTCTCCCTCGATAAGACCATATTAGAAGATGTTTTCTATGTTAAAAGTTAGTCACACCGTACTGCAATACCCAATGTAAAACGGGAATATGCAATAGTCTATTGTTCAATTCCATCGATGAACCTATGGCAAACAGGACAGGCGCGTTCACGTCTACCACAACGTCTACAGCAAACCATGTGGCCACACGGTACACACATTACGTCTGCTGCTCTCTCTTGACATTTCCGACACAGTAGGTCCCACTGATAACTCTCTGAATATCAAAAAGGAAACAGTAAATAAGAAAACGAAGTAAACATTTCTGTAGCAAATTTTGGGCAAGGACTTTTTCGTTGACCAGGTAACTCAGTCGGTTAGAACGATAGTGTAACAATCTGAAGTCTGGGGTTCGATCCCGGTCAGGCACCGTTATTTTTTTTATTTTTTATTTTTATACACAGAGCACTATTGTTGATAACATGCATATTATGTTTATTTCATCTCCATTATTTTTCATAAATGTCCCCGCAAGGTATCATTTTCTCTTCAGGAATGATCTATTATTGCTATAGTCATGCCGGCAAAGTCGGTTTATAATACATAGTTACAGCTTTGTAGCAGTGGTACAGGGATCCTTAAGATACAAATACATCAACGGAAATCAAGTAAAGACAAGTGTACAAAGATTGTTGTTTTGTATGTCTCAAAACAGACGACTAAAATATATAATAACGACCAATTATTGCGTGTTTCAACTTACGAACAACTTGTCCAGTCTGTGTGTTTCTGGTCACACGCGCCGCATAGACCGTCTATAAGATTAAACAAAGCATACATAAAAGTACGATGGCCGACAACAGCGTGACAAAACAAAACACCAGCAATGTGTGGGGCAAAAAGACTGTTAGTACTTTATCAGTTCGGAATTTGTTTTTCTCCGGTGGATGTTGGCCGTATACATCAGTATATGATTTACATAACCTATTTGTTCAGTATATTTTCTTTCACTTTCCACAAAACTTGAAATAGGATAATTTTCATTAGTGCAGTCAATGGAACCGTCAGCATTAACAAATGTACTATTAGCCTATTAGATATTTAATTTAAATTTTCATTTAAGTTATGTACTGATCACGAGGTGTCTTGCTCATCTTAGCAACAAGTACGTCGCATAGTAATATTAGGTTTGATGTCGACGTTTCCTCTTTTCATATTTGCAACGCGTGCATTTATCGTGGTTATGTGCATTTTTAAGAAAACTAACTTACCCTGTGTAGGTTAACTTGTTCAGTATTTCGATTCGAAATGATGTTGGGTCCTTAAACAAAAAATATACAATAATTATATAATTATGAGAATGTTTGAATACACGGAGCAAACAGTTTTCAGAGTAAATCTTTTAAAAGTAAAATATTTTTGTTGGTTGGTTTCGTATGAAGAATTGATTGTTAACACGTAAAAGTCTACTGTACCTTATTTGACAAAAAAGTTAATTGTACTTACTCAAAGGATTTATTTGTCCATTCTGAAATAAAGTTAAGATAAAAATGTACTCATTTAACTATACCATTTGTATATCAATATGGTTGAAAGGTATTCTGGCTCTACAAAAAACCTTTGTACATATTTAGAACCAACAGAACCACAGAACCAAGTTGTTACCCGTAGACAGCGAGGGGTAACCTGGAAACTGATTCGGGTCGTAACGTAATGAAATACAGATAGATTTATTAATGATTTTTTCCATGAATACTCAATGTACAATGACGAAAAGGCCATGTGTTTTGGAAGGGTATTTGTGTCATATGCTCCATTAGCGAAACCAGCCACGTAAATAAAGGTCTAATCCAATTCATGGCACGTCCTCAAGGCGAGAGCCGAGGTATTGACACTTAAACTTTATTTTTTTTAATCTTGAGGAATTTATCCAATATCCATAATTATTACACATGTTTCAGTAAATTATTGTATAAAAAGCTGTTATTATGTCCAGATTAATGGAAGGTATTAGAATATTATCGGCAAATTGTCAGGGACTGGGGGATAAAACCAAGAGAAAGGATGTTTTTTCATATTTAAGGTGTAAAGATTTTAATATTGATTGTATGCAAGATACTCATTTTACTCCAGAAATTGAAGGAACAATTAGGACAGAGTGGGGATATGCGTGTTACTTTAACTCTCTGAGGTCAAATTCTAGGTGGGTTGCATATTATTTAATACTAATTTTGAGGTAAAGGTTTTAAAGGTTCAAAAGGATTTGACTGGATATTTCATAGCATTAGATTTAGAAATAGAAGGGAAACAAATTACACTTATAAATATCTATGGGCCAAATTCAGATACTCCATCTTTTTATGACAACATAGTAGAATCAATAGATACTTTTAAAAAATGAATGTTTTATAATATGTGGAGATTTTAACTTAGTATTAAACCCTGAAATTGATTATGATAAAAGCTAAACAAAAATATCAATAACCCAAAAGCTAGAGAAAATATCTTACAAATAATTGAAGAGTTAGGAATGGTTGATGTTTATAGGGAACAGAATCCTGATAATAAAAGATATACATGGAGAAGAAGTAATCCAATTAAGCCAGCCCGCTTAGATTTTTTTTCTCATTTCTGAAAACTTATTACCTAGTTTAATTAAAACTAATATTGAGCCAGGATACAGATCTGACCATTCTATACCATTTATTATATTAAAATTTAACGAATTTAAGAAGGTGAAAGAACTATGGAAGTTTAACAATTCTTTATTGCATGATTTAGACTATCTTGAAATTGTAAACAAAATTATTTTAGACGTTAAAACCCAATATGCTCTTCCAGTGTATAATCCACACAATATATCCAAAATTCTGGACTCTGAGATCTAATTCCTTATAGATGATCAGCTGTTTTTAGAAACGTTATTAATAGAAATTAGAGGGAAAACTATTTCATATGCTTCACATAAGAAAAAACAACAGAACCATTTAGAAAACAAATTAAAAGATATTATAAAACATTTAGAATCGGTTGAAAATATTGATTTTGATAAATTAAAGGAGAAAAAACAAGAATTAGAAAAAATATAAGATTACATAAACTAAGAGGCAGCATTATTAGATCTAAAGCTAATGGGTTGAAGAGGGAGAAAAGCCAACTAACTACTTTTTTAATCTCGAAAACAGAAATTATACCTCAAAAATAATTCCAAAAACAGAAAAAGAAAATGGGGATATAATAACTAATCAAAATGAGATACTTAAAGAAGTTAGATTATTCTATGAGTCTTTATATACCAATGATGATAATATAGATGATGTTAATTTAGACAACTTTTTACATGACTTTCATGTTCCTAGACTGAATAATATATAATCTGATAGTTTAGAGGGCATTATAACTCTTAATGAAGCATCACATACATTAAATAATATGAAAAATGGGAAAAGCCCTGGTTCTGATTGTTTTACGGTTGAATTTTTAAAATGTTTCTGGAAACAGCTGAATAACTTTATAGTGAGATCAATCAATTTTGGTTACGCTAATGGGCAATTGTCAGTAACACAAAGACAGGGAATAATAACATGTATACCTAAAGGGGATAAACCAAGACAGTTTCTAAAAATTTGGCGACCAATTTCTCTTCTGAATATTATATATAAAATTGCATCGGGGTCAATAGCAAGGAGAATAAAAACAGTTTTAAATAGTATAATAAACACAGATCAAACAGGTTTTATTTCGGGTCGTTATGTTGGGGAGAATACTAGGTTAGTTTATGATGTCATGCAATATACAGATGAAAATAACATACCAGAATGTTGTTAATTATAGATTTTGAAAAGGCTTTCGACTCAGTGTCCTGGAAATTTATTGAAAAAGTTCTTGATTATTTTTAATTTGTCAATGGCATAAAAAATGGGTAAAAGTCTTTCATACAAACGCAAAGTCTGCAATAAATCAAGGGGGAAATTTATCATCTTTATTCGATATTAAAAGAGGTTTCAGGCAAGGGGATCCAATAGCTCCATATATATTTATATTATGCGCTGAAATTTTAGCTGTAAGACTGAGAAATAATAAACATATAAATGGTATTAATATTGACAGTTGCCCGCTTTTACTTTCTCAGTATGCTGATGACACTACTTTGATTTTAGATGGCACACAAATTTCATTAAAAGAGGCAATTAAAGAATTGAAAAGTTTTGCAAATATTTCTGGACTTAAAATAAACATAGAAAAAACACATGTTATTTGGATAGGTAGTAAAAAATACAGTGATGAAATTCTTTATCCTGAATTGAATTTGCAGTGGGGGGATAGGAAATTTACACTTTTAGGTATTGAGTTTGATGTAGATTTACATAAGATAACAAAATTGAATTACGATAAGAAATTTGTAAAACTCAAAACTTTGATTAAAACCTGGAAAAGAAGATTGTTGACTCCTATTGGTAGGATACATATCATAAAATCATTATTAATTTCACAATTCAACCACCTTTTTATCTCTTTACCAAATCCAGATGATTGTTTTCTTAAAAAATTAAATATAGAGCTTTTTAATTTTCTGTGGAATAGTAAAATAGATAAAGCTAAGAGAGATGTCATTGTTAAAGATTATGTAAAAGGGGGTCTTAAAATGTTACATGTACAGTCGTTTATTGA